TTTTCTTTTCTTTTCTTTTCTTTTCTTTTCTTTTCTTTTTCTTTCTCTCTCTCTCTCTCTCTCTCTCTCTCTCTCTTTCTTTCTTTCTTTTTCTTCAAGTCAGTCTTGATCCTAGCAACTGCTTGGACTAGTCCCTGCAGTTTTCTTGGAGGGGGTTTGCCCTTGCCTTCTTCCGAGGCTGAGAGAGGGGGACTACCTGAAAGTCACCCAGCTGGCTTTGTGTCCAAAGCAGCACTAACTAGAACTCACCTCCCAATTTGTAGCGTGGTCTCTTAACCACTACACCCAGCTGTCCCACTGCCTTTCTCTGGGATGACTCAACTTGCTCAGTTCAGTGTCTGGCAGCTGCTTTGCTATCACTCTCAGCTTGTTTAGGGTTAAGCTGGTGCGGGGGTGGGTGTGTGTCTTAATGCGTTAAGGCAACTGAATCAATGATGGCGCAATTTCTTTTGCAACCCCCCCCCCGCCCCCCAAAGAGTTCATTCAGTCACCAACTGAAGTGAGCAGCAATGTTTCCTTTCCCTCTTCTGGTGACGGAGGGAGACAGAGAACCCAGTGAGATGCTCCCCATCACCTAAACTCAGCAGCACTTTTCCAAGGGTGGGGTGGGGTGGGAGGCTCCCAAACTGCTGGAGGACCCTGATCGGCAGCACGGGGCCCTTGCCCCATTGCCAGCCTGACCTCCTCCACCCTCCATTCTCTCTTCCCTCTTCCAGGTGATCATCAGCATCACGTTCTTAGCTTCTCTGCCCAGCCAGGCTCAGGGGTGCCTCTCCGAGAATGACTGCTGCAATCGGAGCAGAATCCTCACTTTTGAGGCACACTTCCGAGACTCCAAGCCTTCTCCCTTGTCCATGGCTCCTTCCGCGACGGATTCCGCAATGGATTGCCAAGCGTCTTCTCGAGGCCCCGTGGCCAGACGATCCATCTCTCCTTGGAGATACAAGTAAGAGCAAACATTCCTTTAAGCCACTTTTCTATCTGTCCCTGCCAGCCTTCCCCACCCTGGGCCCCTCTGCAGGAGTGGGATTCTGAGCCCCATAATTCCCAGCAGTCAGGCTGACTGGGAACAAGGGGACTTGTAATCAACCTGGTCTGGAAGGCGCCTGGATGGGGAAGGGGGCTTCATGCCACTCCTCCCTCCATCAATGAGGGGGTTCAGAAAGAAGAAAGACTGTCTGGGTTTGCAACCACACATCAGGTGTGTTTAAGCCACACATCTTGCACAAGCCCAGCTTGTGTTATTTCACAATTCGGTGAAATTGAGCCAGTTGTTATACTTGAGTCAGCCTGGAATGAATCAATTATGATGAATTAATTAAGTCTGGCCTGGAAGGAATGCCGTAAGGAGGTTTTTCCCTTCTCAAAGTATACACAGACGGGTAACTAGCATTTAAATGTTAAACCAGGCAAAGAGAAGCTGTGACAAATCAGGAACAGCAACTCCCAGCTGTTGGAGTTAAGTGTCAGGGCCTGTGGCCCAGGGAGATGGGGGTCTTCCCTCTTTTTTTAAAATTCATCCAATGGAGGTGTTCATTAATGCTGAACAGGCTACAAAGCAGATGGTTCTCACCACTAAAAAGCTCATCTTGTATTGTCCTGGTTGACTTGGGTCAGCCCGTTGAGGCAGGCCAGAGTCCCTGCGGGTCAGGTGGCATAAAAATTTAAATAATAATGAACAATTGTTGATAAGAAAGACCAAAAAGCCTGGATAGGGGACACTGCAATGCCTGGAGACAGCAGAAGAGAAGAGAAAGAACTGGAGGAAATCACAAAATACAGTGGTACCTCGGGTCACGAACTTAATTCGTTCCGTGACTCTGGTCGCGACCCGAATCAAATTTTCCCATAA